ACCCTTTGGTGCATTAGCAGCAACTACCACGTTGGGGTGTTTTCATCTGTCATATTGTTGGACCAGAAGTTTGGGAATTGAGAAAAGTTTATGAAATACATTTTTCTGTTCTCTTATTTTATCTATAATTAATTAGTTGGAACTGACGAATAAAAGTAGTTACAGGCTTGCTTAAACCTCTACACTTAAAAATCTGACTCTAGATGCCATGTTAGATATTAAACTTCAAGATGACAATTCAATCAGGGAAAAACTTGGCCTCCCCTTTCTAAAAGAATATGACATCAAAACTCAGATTTGCATAGTTGGAACTGGATGAACCACGACACTTATGGAACAATGTCCTTTGGACTGCTGAGACTAAAGTACACATGTCTGGTGATCATGATTGGGTCGTTGTTTGGTGAAAGCCAAACAGCATTTCAGCACAAGCACCTCATACTAACTACCTAGTGGTCTAGAGACCTGATTATTTGAGCTGTTTTGACATCACAGGACCTGGGCACCTTACAGTCATTGACTCAACCATTACCTCCTCTGAATTACAAAATTATTCTATAGTAAAATGTAAGGAAAACTGTACAGCAAACCATATAGCACTATAGCGAAATGACTGAAAAAGAAAAAGTGTTGCAATGGCATAGTCAAAGTCCAGGCCTTAACCTGATTGTGTCATTCATGTTTAACTCCCTGACCCTCATGCATGTGTGTTCACTCAGAAACAGTAGATGCAAAAGGTTTATTTGCAATTAGGAAATGTGCATCAGTGTATGATCTGTGTTTTCGTCTACAGCAAGCATCTACAGAGAACAGAGAAGGTGGAGAAGGTAGAAGGAGGAGAAGATAAAAATATGAAGAACTAAGCTGTGAAGGATAATTGTGAAGCAGGTGAGTTATTTTGGGGAGAAGGTCTGTCACAGGAGGTAATGGCTCGATTGATCCTGAATGAAACAGGAATCCAAGGGCGGTTTAGACCTAGGAGGTAGAGAAAGCTTGAGGAATGAGTGACTCAGAGGTAAATTCAAGATTACTTGAGAAGATTATTTTGATCATAACACTAGCTAAGTTTACTAAGAGGGCTTGACTCTACCAGTCCAGCAGCTCCTTTTTTTAAGATTTCTTTGCAGCACTAGAGGCCTTTTATTGTTATTTAAGAGTGGGCAGACAGGAAGTGGGGTGAAGAGAGGAGGAGAACATGAAGCAAAGGTCACCAGGGTCAGGAATTGAACCTGGGACAGCTGCATCGAGGACTGAAGCATCCGTATATGGGTTGCGCACTCAACTGCTACGCCACAAACCGCACCCCCAGCAGTTTCTTTTATCACTGGGAAGATGCAGTCAGGTCCATGGGGAAGAAGAGCTGTACAGTGCCTACATTGCCAACCAGTGGAGATCTGCTGCACAGGGAAGAGTCTCACACATACACAAACATAACAGAATCATGACAAATTCAATGAACTGAGGCAAGTTTGCAAAAATAAGTGGGTCAAAATTCCACCACAGTGATTGGAGAGACTAATAAGATCATACGGATAACAAGTACCTTAAGTCATTGTTGCTTCAGCTGCATCTACTAGCCATGGAGTCATAGGGTGTATGTAGTTTTACATGCAGCATTTCTATATTAGCCTGATACTTATAAGCTCAGAGCTGAAAGAGTAACTCATAAACCTGACATTGTTTCTATAATGACTATTGGGACTGAACTTCTGGAACTGAAATGTGTGCTTAAATAAGATGGTTGACAGTTTTCTCTAAAGGATTGTGATGAAGAAAACCTAAATTTGAAGCTAGAGTGCTTTCGTGTTCCAGATTGAACAGCAAGCAAACAGCAACAATCACACAACCTTAATTCCGTGGAATTAAGAATCACTATTGATCTGGGCATCTCCACCACTATGAACTCTAGTTCAAGCTAGTCAATGTGTGGTAATCTAAAGAATGATGTTGTAATTTTTATTTTATTTTTAAACTTGTTCCCTGATGAAACTTTGAGCAAACGGCAGATGATTTAAAACATTATATCACAGAGCTGTTATCTGATTCCTTCTGATGAATTTCACCAGAGGTCCCTCTGGAGCTCAAAGGGAGTCCACTCTGCATGAATTATTACCACATATAATTTCAGCTATTAGTTCTCTCTCCTGAACATCTGAACATGGAAAATGTGGAATTAGAAAATTAATACCTCTGAATATCATGGCAGGATTTTTTTTGAGATGATGATTCATTTTCATGTTCTCGTATTTCTGTTTCTTTGTATTCTGACCGCGTTTTTGACACATTTGAATGTTAAGTTGGGCTCAAGCAGTTCTATTTCCATACAGATTAACCATTTTGAGCTTTGCTGTGTTGAGGGAAAGAATTAGCTCCCAGGAAAGCTAAAGAAAATACAGAAGCAAAGGAAAATGAAATGAAAAAGGATTATGTGTGTCCTGCTTCCCTCCTGTTTATGTCTGTAATCTTTACTGGGGTCAGTGTTTTTATCTAAATTGATTTATTTATGCTAAATATTTGTGCTCTTGGTAGGCAGGGTGGTTTAGTCTGACATTGTGTGTATGGTTAAACATTGTCTTTCTCTTATCTATATTCTAGCATATAGACTAAGGTGATGACTAATCTGCTGTAACAGCAAGACATGGACAACAAAGACCTTCACAGCTTTTCTCCAAAGGTCCACAATGGAAATACACTGTGGGCTCACACATGCACACACTAGAATACAGCATTAAGTAATTTGTTTAAATTTGTTTAAATTCTCTAGAAACCTCATACACTATATAGCCAAAAGTATTTGCTGGACCCTCAAAATCATTGACTTCAGGCGTTGCAACAACTTCCATGGCCAAAGGTGTATAAAATGCAGAGATTGCCAGCAATCAGCAGAATCAATAACTGCAAAGCTCTAATCCTGAAATCATATTAAACTCTGTGAATTAAGTATGGAATGTCACCCAAGTTCATTTGTGTCTGAAAGCAGATGAGCAAATACTTTTGGACAGGAGATTGTTTAACATTTCTCTAATTTCAATAGACTCTTATAAATTAATTCAGGTGAATTAAACACTCTTCTTACTGATTCTACTCTGTTGTAAACACAAATCCAGTAGTACACATGTAGAACATATTAAAACAAAATTTTAACAAAGGCCATAAAATAAAAATATTCCTCCTTAGGCAAGAGCATTCAAATAATATGTAGAAATTAGAGTTTGTGTTGAGTAGGTGTATTCGAGTGAGCTTGTCACCTGTAGGTGCACAGTTGTAAGTGTGGCGAGAACAGTAGAAGGCCTGCAACCCAAAGAAAGTAAGAGCAGCAAAGGCCAGGTGGACCCAGCTGTGGAGGGCCACAGCAGTCCCAGGTAGCCAGATACAAAGCCCACCCCAAGGCAGCCATACGCCCGCACATAAGTAGGTCATTAGTGAGGCACAGGACCAGCAGCCCCCCAGGCCAAAGAGGCACAGAGTGAGACATAGGTTACCCCGCCTCAGCCACGCCGGCCAAGTACAGGAACCAGCCACCCCTGGTAACCCAGGGCCCGTACCAACCCACGGCAGCAAAACCACCCAGCACCAAGCAGGGGAGACTTCCCCAGAGCCCCCAACACGTCAGGCGGCACCAGCTCATCACAGCAGCCGGAACTCATAGGGACCAAGGTAGGAAGGGAACATTTCATCCACACTGGTGAGCCAGTGCCTTAGAGGTCAAGAGTGAGGGATGCCAGCTCGACAACGCCAGGAGCCATAGGCCACTAGACGGGAGCCCACCACTCCAGGGCGTCACCCAAGCACCCACACAAACAACACTCCACCAAAAGGGTCATTCCCCCTACCCGTCCCCCTCATGACATTGTCAGAGACCCCCAGGCCATCCCCTCTCATCTAATCCCTGTCGCACTAGCACAGGTGCTGCTTAGCTGGCCGGTGTACTCTAAGGACCGCAGGCACCACGCAGGCCCCATGCAGGCCCCAGCAGGAGCACCCGCCTCCAGGGCCTCACTGTCCACCCGAATATGACCCAAATCCCTCGATCCCCCTCCCCACCCCACGGGTAGCCAAAGCAGACCCAAAACCGCCAGTATTCTTCCATTTCTTTAGCACTGTTTTTTTGTAATGCTTAGAACTGCAAGAAGGGTCTGGTACTATTTGCTTTCAAATCCACTTTCGTGAATTTGAAAACATATAGAAGTCTGCCCCAGTCTGACCCAGAAGGGCAGACTGGGGCTCTGCACTCTGTGCATGTTGATAGGACTTTACATATTTTTAGCCAACAGCCATAGACAGATAGATCACAGCCAGAGAGCATCTAGATAGTCATCAGGTAAGTCCCATGCAGTTATTGTCATGATCCTGGTTATTAGTGTGTGAAGTGGTGTTTCTCCTTATAGGATCTCTTCTGAGGTGTGTGGCCGGCAGGACTCACACCTGTTGGCAATTTTCCACCTGGCTGCTGGTGATTTAAGGTGCTGCAGAACATCCACTCCTCGCCTGATGTTCAGCCTATTGGTAGACTTCAAGCCTTAGAGCCAAGTACCTTAGAGCATGTTTCTAAGAATTTCCGTGTTTGTTACCTTCTCCTCGATTTAATCTTTCTTGTTTCCATGATCCCAGGTTAAAAACCTTCGGTCGTCTCCCATGCCCAGCCAGCTTCGATTTCTAGAAACATGACAGAAACATCAGGCCAGATTGACCCAGCAGAAGAATTTGCAGGAGATATTGGCAAATGTTGAGGATTTCTGCTGCAGTGCTCCCTGGTATTTAGCCAGTCCCCTGAATCCTTCCCTGACGACTCCTCCCGCAACTCATACATAGTTGGACTTCTTCAGGACAAAGCATTATAATGGGCTGAAGGAAGGTACAATCATCAAAACATCTCACTAAGTTCTTTTGAAAGCTTTATTTCAGAGTTCAAACAGACTTTTGGATAGTGTGACAGTGAAACAGACAACCAGAAAACTGTGGAACATTTTACAAGGAAACAAAACAGTGAAGGGCTGCATGGTGGCGCAGTTGGTAGCACTGTTGCCTCGCAGTAAGAATGGTCCTGGGTTCGACTCCCGGCAGAGGGTCTTTCAGCATGGAGTTTGCTCTTAAAGGGTCTTTGCCAATGGTCTAAGTAAACCTCTCAAGGATAAAATGGCCTTTAGGGATGAACCCGAAGATTTTGAGTACCTGTGTGCTTTAGCTATCCGAATAGATAACAGAATAGCACAAAGAAATAGAGAAAGGAGATATGAAAATCACTCCTCTCCAGCACCTCATCCATCTCCCAGAATGCTCCCTGTTTCTGAGTCCACCTTTTAAACTACTGAGGAGCCTATGCAGATTGGCAGAAAGAGGTTGTCTCCAGAAGAATGACAGTGCAGTATTTACTGCGGCAAGAGTGGTCATTTTATTACCAGCTGCCCAGCTCGACCAATAGGGGGGGCCCGCCAGTAGCTACAGGAATATTGGTGGGTAGATTTAAAAATAAAGAATCTTCCTGTTTAACTTTGCCGAGTACTCCGCTTGTTAAACAGAACTCTTTTCAGTTTACTCTTAGTTGACTCTGGATGCAAACGAAATGTAATTGACCAGAATCTGGTAAATCAGCTCAACATCCCCACAACTCCCCTCTCCTCTTCAGTTCAAGTCAACACTCAAGACGGTAAATCTTTTCCTACCATCACCCATAGGACAGAGACTGTTGAGCTTGTCATTTCCAGTAACCATACAGAGAAACTAACTTTTTTGGTGTTTCCTGTCCCAAAATTGAATAGATTAAAGAATAATCTAAAAGGAGGAAATCATGAAAATCTCATAAAAATAAAACAATTAAATGTGGCTTATTGAACATAAGATCTCTCTCTTCAACGACTTTGTTAGTCAATGACTCGATGACTTGATTTGTGATAATCAGATTGATATATTTTGTCTCACAGAAACCTGGCTGCAGCAAGAGGATTATGTTACTATAAATGAGTCAACTCCTTCTAATTATTTAAATTTTAACATACCTCGAAATACCGAGCTAGGAGGAGTAACAACCATCTTTCAGTCCGATTTATTGATTAATCCCAGATTAAATTATTGCTACAACTCACAAATATCTAATCCTTAGTTTTCCTCTTTCAAATTGCAAAGCACTAAAACCACTTCTGTTTGTTGTTTTGTACCGTCCACCAGGCCCCGACTCTCAATTTTTAGATCAGTTTTCAGACTTTTTATCTGATTTAGTGTTAAATACAGATAAGATTATAGTGGGGGATTATAACATTCATGTTGACAGTAAAAGGGATAGTCTAAATATAGCCTTTATTGCTATTTTAGACTCAATTGGCATTGCTCAACACATTAGCAAACCTACCTACCTTTGTCTTCATTCTCTCGACCTTGTGCTGACATATGTCATTGAAAAGAAATAACAATTTTTCCTCATAACCCTTTCATGTTTGACCATTTTTTAATAACCGTTGAGTTTAATTTACTCCCCACCTGAAGGAAAATTTGATTTTAGTAGATCATTATCAGACAATGCTGTAACAACCTTTAAAGAATCTGTTCCACTATTAATTTCCTCATTATCATAGAAAAATACAGTTGTCATCTTTGGACTCTTTGTCTTTGAGAAAGAAACTGCTTCTACATTCTCATCCTACTCTCCAATTTTGCATTATTTGCTGTTATTTCAGCTTTTAACTCTATGTTCTTTCCCTTTTCTCTACCTAGAAGCTACACCTGGCCTGACTCTGTGTCTACCTGTGACGCCTTCTTGGAGGGGGGCATCGTCCGAGCTTCTGCTGGCAACAACTTAATGCTCACCCTCTACCGATGATCCACATGGCCCTGTCTTTTAGTGTTTAACCCTTTCTCTCTCCCAGACATGGTGATTGACTCAGCTTTTGCTGTGACTAACTCTATGTGCGCTCTTTCAGACTCTAACCTTGAAAACTGGCTCAGAGTTTATCTGTTCTTTCTTTCTAGGTGAAACAACTAAAGGAGCTACATCCATTAACATTTACTTTTCCTTCCCATAGAAAGTACTCCTGGATCAGTGCTTCTTTGTTCTCTTTGTGTCTCTGCTCTGTTCTCTCAAACCCCCAGTCGGTCGTGGCAGATGGCCGCTCACACTGAGCCTGGTTCTGCTGGAGGTTTCTTCCTGTTAAAAGGGAGTTTTCCCTCTCCACTGTCGCTACATGCATGCTCAGTATGAGGGATTGCTGGAAAGTCAATGCAAGTGACTGTCCACTGTCTCTTCATGTTCATCCAGGAAGAGTGAATGCTGCAAGTCACTGACTCGATACAGTCTGCTGGGTTTTCTTAGATAGAAATGCTTTTTAAGCAATTTGAATAATAAACTGAATTTGACTGAATTGTTTGATAGTTAGGTTTAATTGGAATCTATGTACCTGACTTAAAATCTGTCTGATTTGATTGAACTGACTTTGTAATGTACCTTGAGACGACGTGTTGTGAATTGGAGCTATATAAACAAACTGAATTGAACTGAATTACTTATCAAACCAACCAAATCCAAATGAATGCATCAACTCTCAAGAAAACATTTGCTAGGGCAATAGTTTGAAGGAAACATATCAGTAGGTGGCGATAATAGAAAATATTGTCAGAATTTGGACAGTGCCAATTCCTCCATAAAATGAAAAAGATGATTTAAAAATGTTGTTACAATATGTTAAGTTTAACCCAGAAGTGAATATGATTTGGATAGTGTTGACTGTATTACTTGTATTACATTGAATTAATTCAAGCATCTCCGCCATATTTCTCATTTCTACATTGCCCAAGGCCAGACATGAAAGGTGTTGGTGTTGCTGCCATCTTATCACACAGTCAATCACTTGAACAAGTCTTATTTGGTTCCTACTCTTCATTTGAGTATTTGCTTTTGTTCTGAAAACCTAGAGTCCTTTTTTAATAATTACTGTTTATTCTCCTCCAAGCCAACTGAATTGGCTGAATCATTATTATTAATATTCTTATTATTATTACTGCTATTACTACTATCGTGCCTGATTCTGTCCTTATTTCGGGTGTTTTTAACATGCATGTGGATAATCACTCTGACACATTTTCAAATTAATTTATCGACCTGTTATCAACCTTTGACCTCATACAGCATGTTGCTGGGCCAACTCACAATCTGGGTCTTGACCTGGTCTTTCTCAGAGGTCTTGAAACTGTCTCAAAGTGTATCTTTGATGTTGCCATTTCTAATCATTTTTGTATTTTTTCAGTATTAAATTGGCATTAGGCATCCACCTAGACACAATTGTCAATAGATTCGTTCTGAAGCCATAAGTAAATTTAAGTTAAGATAATTTTTCAACCATTAAGTCACATTGTTTTGACTGTCCTTCTGTTTTGAATTTATCTTCAAATTTCCCAATTATTCTGTGCCCTCATGCGACCTAATAGTTAAAAGATCTAATTCACTCATGGCAAGAATTTCAGATGACATTGCACCTCTTAAAGTAAAAATAACTCCTGGTATGACAAAACATTTAAAAGATCATGTCGCCTAGCTGTAAGGAGGTGGCACAAGACCAAATTATCATCAGACTTCGCAACCTACAAAAGATTACAAATTGAGGATCACAAAGAAATAAAAAGGGCTAGGGAACATTATTTCTCTCAAATCATCTTTGTTAATGCTGATAATAGCAGGATCTTGGACCCTAGAACGCTACAGACAGACTTATTAATATGTGAATTCTACCCCAATTGAGTTTAATTCTGTTGAAAAATGCAGTGATTTTGCCTCTCACTTTGCATTAAAGATTTGCAATATTAAAAATAGTGTTGCATATACAATTTCTGGTTCATATGCCTCTCCTCTCCTACAAATCACTCAATCTAATTTAACTCTCTCCAATGTCTTTCCAGTAAATAGACATGAGTTAGGAGACACCATACACCAATTAAACTATGCAACTAGTGCCTTCGACCCCATACCCACTAAGTTGTTTAAAAATTTCCTTGGTTGTTTGGTGGATGATAAGTGCTTCCTTAACCTCTGGATTTTTTCTTGACGCTGTTAAACACCAACACCACTGTTAGAAAAGAATACACTTGACCCACTTCCTTGGATACCTACAGACTCATTTTAAACCTACAATTTCTAGGTAAACTACTTGAAAAAGCGGTGTATCCTCAACTTCATATGTATTTAATCCAACAATTTATTTTACACTTTCCACTCTGGGTCTAGAACCAATCATAGTAAAGAAACAATACTGGTTAGAGGTGTTACAATCTGAAAATTAGTCTTGTCCAACATAAAATCTGTTTTTATTCTCTTTGACCTTAGCACAGCTTTTGACACAGTTGACCATGCTATCGTCCTAAAGCGTTGAACATCATACAGGTCTAAATGGTCCTGTTCTCAATTCGTTGTCTTCATATTTCGTGGGTAGAACGTTTTCTATTACTATTAGTGACTTTGAATCTAATTGGGTTAACACTGATTACAGTGTTCCAAGAATCAATTCTTGGTCCTCTGCTGTTGAATTTATATATGTTTCCCCTTGGTTCCATCATTACACACCATGGTATCTACCGTTTATATGCCGATGATACACAGTTGTACATATGTGTTTCTGCTGATAACATGAGCCTTGTTAATAAGCTTGTAATAAGAATGCCTTGCAGAAGTCAAAAATTGGTTGTCCAGAAACTTTCTAGTTGATTGTTAATAAAACTGAGATACTTATTGTGGGCCCTGACAATCTGGAAAACCTCACTTATCTTGTTTGAACTCTTTGATGATTAAGCCACATGAGTGCGTTAAAAGCCTAAGTGTGACCTTAGATTGCAAGCTCAATTTTCAAAAACACATCCATAATATATCATGGTCTGCATTCAAGACAACCAGCAGAGGATGCTATAGGCTATTAAATGGGACGTTGGAGGTGGTAAAGAAAACAGTTTGAAACGGTAGTATGCTAAAATGGACATTACAAGCTGGCTTAACAAAAGCAAGAGCACAGCTAGGACAAGCAGGGACAATGCTAATACATCACAAGTCTTAGCAAGGTAAGTGCAACCAGGCGCTGCAGCCACAATTGCTTCTGT